TATCAAATATAATGTAAGGCAAGTAAATAACCTAACATTAATTTTGAGATACGATTCTCTAACCATTTGCATGCCGAACCAAAAATAAATCAAAAAATAAATTCTAAAAAATCAACCAATAGAATCGCTAGAATTCTTCTGAGAAGGGCTGTGTGAGTGCCACGTGTCAAAGTGACTTCTCTTTTAATATATAGGAGGATGCTTCTTTCTCTGCTACATATGTTTCATATATGTTTATTTTCATGAAAGAATTAAATGCGACATATCTATTTCATCAAATTACGAGATATCTCCCAAAAAATCTGAATCAAATGTGTTATATTTAAAAATTCTTCAAAACTAAAGCTTCAACGGATCACTAAAGAAAACAAGGTTAAAAAGATTAAGGAATACCATAGCAAATCATTGTATGATAAATTTAACTTTGAAATTAACCGACTCTTTTGGTAATTCCACGTGAATTACCAAACAAGCCAAATTAATTTAGGTCTAGACTGGAAAAATGTAAATGCAATTTAGATCTTAAATGGGCTAGAAAACCCATAGTCATTCAAATAAAACCCAACAAAAAAAAAGGAGCAAGAGAGCCTATGTTTCTATCTTCATTATTACTTCCAAAAAGGTTAAAAAGGTTTCATTCGAACCACAAAACAAAGTCTAGAGAGAGATTTGAAACCAAACCGAACCAAACAACTCTTTGTTCATCTATGTAACGAGTCGTCTTGACATGAACCCCACCAAGTATCTGTCAACTCATCTCCTCCTAGCTTGAGAAACACCTGAACATTGCGGCACATTAGTTCAAACATGCAATCAATGTTGATTTTGACAAAAGATAAGATGAAAGATTTTGCCTCTCACCATTTTTCATCAACACTGTGTCTCTTCGGGTGGAAACATTTTCTAGTGCAGTTACAAGTTTACTGGCAGTAGATTGCTTGATCGATATTTGAAGGAATTGATTTGATTTCAGTGCCGAGTTCTTGCTCGGTCTGATACCTGTTCTCAAAAACATATGATACATGAGAAAACTAAAACAAAGACATAATTAAACAAAGTAACAACTGTGGAAAGAAGAAGCGACTTACATTTTGAAACGGTCCTCATATGTTACCAAATTCACAGCTAATCCAAGGTGTCCAAACCGTCCTGATCGGCCCACCTGATCATTTCACAGTATGCATCAAGAAAAACGAGGTTGTCCTGGAAGCTTAGATTAAAAAAGAGGTTTTGTTTCGACTTACCCTGTGTAGATACGACTCAGAAGTCCTAGGAAAATCAAAGTTAATCACTACATTCACAGCTTGGATGTCAATTCCACGAGTAAACAGATCTGCACCAGCCAACATTTTTTAAGCAAGTCATAAACATCATCTACACATTGATCATCGTTCAAAGTACATGTTCGAAAGCATACCAGTGCAAACGAGATTTCTGCAAGCACCATTGCGGAACTCATGGAACACTCTGTTCCTATGATCCTGAACCATCTTCGCATGAATGTAGAAGCACGAGTACCCGAGCTCTGTAATTTTCTTAGCCAACAGTTCCACGCGATTGACAGAGTTGCAAAAGATTATCGATTGGTTTATTTGCAGCTGCAATCAAATAAAATAACTATTTTAGATCATCCAAATCGAGTAGGCATATATTTATGTAGCTATCTGAGATTGATGTAGACATTTGACCTTAGAGAAAAGTGTGTTGAGGCAGTGAACCTTCTGTCTCTCTTCAACAAAAGCATAATACTGCGTGACACCCATAAGCGTGAGTTGATCCATGAGATTGATAACGTATGGCTTTCGGAGATGTCGATCTTTAAAAGCTTTCACAGTGACAGGAAACGTAGCGGAATACATCAAAAACTGACGATTTTGTGGCAGAAACTGTATCAACTCCTCTAGAGAAGGTTGGAACTCTGCAGACAAAAGCTTGTCGGCCTGGTAAAATAGTTAGTAAAGAGTCAGAAATTTTGAAGCTTATAACACAATCAACATCAGGTAGACATAGTATAGGAGAAATTAGGAAAAGCTATGAGGAGCTCACCTCATCCATTACAAGCATCGTACAGTCTTTCAAAACACAAACTCCCTTTTTCGTAAGATCCAATATTCTTCCAGGAGTTCCAACGAGCAGATGCACAGGTTGATGTAACCGCATGATATCATCTCTCAGACTGGTACCACCAGTGGTGACCATAACCTGGATGTTCAAGTACTTGGAAAGCTCCTTGCAAACCTGTGATGTCTGAAGAGCCAGCTCTCGCGTAGGAACTAGAATCATAGCTGTATAACAAAAAAAATAGAACAACAAACACAGTCAGAGAGTAACTACATTTTTCACAAATCAAAAAAGAAGTTTTAAAACTAGCGTACCTTGAATAACATTGGTATTAGGATCAATTCTCTCTAAGACTGGAATACAGAAGGCACCAGTCTTCCCTGTACCGTTCTTAGCTCGAGCAAGAATATCACTACCGGTTAAAGCAATGGGAATGCTCTCTTCTTGAATAGGAGATGGCTTCTCAAATCCTTTCTCATATATTCCCTTAAGCAGATCCCTCTTCAGAAAGTAATCTTCGAATTCATTTCCCTTTGTAGCTGTCACATCCTGCATAGAATGTTAAAACACACATAAGGACACCTTCCACTTACACTATAAGCCATTATAAAGAAAAAAATCTCATACCGCGGTTTGATAACGAGTATCAGGAGGTGGGAGCCTCAACCTTGCCTTCCAATCTTGGCCACTGAGAGTAGTAACATAGAACACAGAGTCCATTAACACAAAAGAGATATATAAGTTTCACACCTCAAATCAAATCACATTACCACAAATCTCTTTCTATAAACAGCGCAAATCATCACTTACTTCAAACCAAAATCATTCATAACAACCTTATCTTATCTCCAATAATCATTCATGGCAAAGAATCCATTAACACAAAAGAGATATAAGTTTCACACCTCAAATCAAATCACATTACCACAAATCTCTTTCTATAAACAGCGCAAATCATCACTTACTTCAAACCAAAATCAATCATAACAACCTTATCTTATCTCCAAAGAATCATTCGTATTTGAACAGTTGTTTCCAAGAACGTAATACACAGCGCCATCACAGAGATATCTTTCTACAAACATCACAAATCATTCATAACAACCTTTCTTATCGCCAATAATCATTTGTAGCAAAGCGTATTGAATAGTTGTTTCCAAGAACGTAATCAAACCAATACATATAAGTTTCGCCTCAAATCAAATAAAATCACATTACCACAAATATCTATCTACAATCAGCACAAATCATTACTTACTGTAAACCAAAATCATCCATAACAACCTTATCTTATCTCCAAGAATCATTCACAGCAAAGCGTATTTGAACAGTTGTTTCCAAGAACGTAATACACACACAGCGCAGATATAAGAAACAAGATCTTACTTAGGATCACTGCTAGCTACAGTCGGCTGAGACGACGTCGTTTTCTGAACCTCATTAGCGTTACTAGCGTTTCCAGGAAGCTGAGCACGTCTTGACCACTGTTGTTGCTGCTGATGGTTCTGCGATTGACTGCGCTGAGGTTGCTGATGATTCGGCGGCGCACCACGTCCCGTTCCACGTCCTCTGTTATTATTCATCACAATCTCTCTATCTCTCTCTCGATCCTGAATCTACTCAATAACCGTTACACAAAACTCAAACAAAAAGAAAACGAAAACCTAAAGAGTAATCAGAGAATGTACGTTCAAAAACCTAGGGTTTTAAGAAACTTACCGTGGAACGCTGGGGACGAGATCCGAGTGTGTTCAAGTAAACTACAAACCGGTCAGTTAAAGAACGGAGAAGGAGAAAAAAAAAACGAATCGAGAGGTTTCGATTTGTGATGAGAAAACGTAACAGAAAATTTTCTCGGGAAAAGAATCGGTTAGAGAGTGACGAATACGCTCTCTGTTCGTTCTTGCTCGTCAATGGAGTTTCTTCTTCTTTTCAGACTTTCTCACTCTTCTATGTGTTATTTATATATATGACCCTTCATCTTTCTATTACTTTACATTAATATCTTGCTTTTCCGTTATTACTTCAATGCAATCCCTCTTTTTTTTAGTGATTTGCATATAGGATCCCTAATTTTCAGATTATTTGCAGTTATAGCCAAGTTATATATGCATATGACCCTCGGGCTTTCTATCTTTACATTAATATCTTGCTTTTCCGTTATTACTCAACACAATCCCTCTTTCTTAGTAATTTTCGTATATGGCCCCTATATTTTGTATTATTTGTAGTAATAACCATGAATTTTAAGTCCTTTTTGAGTCTTGGGTCTTTTCTCGCTAATTTAGAAAAAAGACCCTGTAGAATTGGATAATCTCAAGATGACAATCATATTTACACATACAGTATTGAACCCGTATTATAATTTCTTGCGCATTTCAATTTCTCAACCTAGTTTTTGATAACTGATCTTTTAGTCATATAATAAATCATGCTTACGTTGATAGGTACAGGTCAATTAAGCTATGGTTAAAAGTTAAAAAATCATGTCTTACAATAATGGCATGTTTTCGTGTGTCCTTTGATTATACTCCAGAATGGAAAAAGAGGTGAGCAATAAAAAAAAATTAGCCGAAATTAGATCTGAAAATATAAGATGATTCAGTGACATTAAAACTGATCATTGACATGCCATTGTTGTAAAACCCTTACTTTATAGTAATAAGATAAGATATAACTTGAGTTTTATACTTAACACCCTTACATTATTGAATGACCCTTACTCTTTCCATTACTTTATACTAGTAAAACCTTGAGTTTTAGTTATTACTTCATGGCAATCTCTCTTTTCTCAGTTATTTTCATATATAACCCCTAACTTTCAGATTATTTGTAGTGATATGATAATCAGTTCTTTCTGAGTTTTCAAGATGAATCTGCTAAACATTATTTGAAAAAGTGATTTACCATATGGCATCACCATAATCATTTTCATCAAAAAAAATAATATAGTATACTAGAAAAGATAACATAGATTAAGACAAAATATGACATATACAATTACATTTAATGAAATATCTTTTTTTGGTAAACTTTTTAAAATATGGTACTAATTCATATACCATCATTAAAATAAATATATTCAAATATGATATTAAATAATATACAACTTTTATTGCTAAACAAGATTCAAATTTTATAGAACTTTAAAAAAATAATTATAATTTTTAATCAATACCCTTTGTTTTTATATCTAAATTTTTTTTTTTTAAAAAATTGTTTTCTTTTCTTTTTTTGATAAGTATATAATTTTATATCACTTTCTAATTTTCTACAAGTTAATTTAATATATATTAACTCAAATACCCATAAATAAATGAATATCTATCTAAGATTATTATATACATTTCTATTCTTAAATATAATTTCAAATAAATTAAATTGTTTATTTTATCCTAATTTTATGTTTAACTGGATCAAATCTACATTAAAATACTGATATAAAATTAAAAAAATCTAAATATTAACAAAATATATTTAAAATATAATTTAAATTAAAATATTATCTTGTATATGGTGAAGGAAAATACCTAATTACCCATAATTAGCTTATAGAATATAGATGATTAAATATTTAAAGGGTTCTCCTCATTCGATTCTCAACCATTAGAAAAAATCAATTCTAGAAATTGAATAAAGGCAGAAAACTCATAGATTACAAACTTTGATTTCTTTTGTGATCTGAAAGCAAAGGGAGAAGAGAGAGAACAATGGCGTTTACAGGGACACTAGACAAATGCAAGGCGTGTGACAAGACTGTATACCTTATGGATTTGATGACTTTGGAAGGTATGCCTTATCACAAGTCATGCTTCAGGTGCAGCCATTGCAATGGCACTCTCGTGGTACCTATCTAGCTTATTGCACCATTATTCTTTTGTTTCTGTGGAGAAACAGAAAAAGGAGAATCTTTCTTATCTTTTGCAGATTAGCAACTACTCATCAATGGATGGAGTTCTGTATTGCAAACACCATTTTGAACAACTCTTCAAAGAATCTGGAAACTTCAGCAAGAATTTTCAGACAGGTTTAAAGAATCCTCTGTTTTTCTGCTCTGTTCTTTTAACCTAATGTTGAAAAGCTAACAATCTTGGCTACTTTGTATTGATTATGTACAGCAGGAAAGACCGATAAATCGAATGAAATGGTAATCAATCAAACATTTCTCTGTTTTTTTTTGTTGTTCATTATCTCAATATTTAATCTGATTTTATGTTTGAATCTAGACGAGGGCTCCAAACAAGTTATCATCCTTCTTCAGTGGAACACAAGACAAATGTGCAGCTTGCAAGAAAACCGTTTATCCTCTAGAGAAGATCACAATGGAAGGAGAATCTTACCACAAGACTTGCTTTAGATGTGCACACGGTGGTTGTACATTAACACACTCTTCATATGCTGCTCTCAATGGCATCCTTTACTGTAAGGTCCATTTCAATCAGCTTTTTCTAGAGAAAGGTAACTACAGTCATGTCCTAGCCGCTGCTAACCACCGACGCACACCTGAGGAAGATAAAACCGAACCAAACGAAAATGAATCAAACCCTACAGAAGAAGAAGAAGACACTTCTGGTGCAGCCCTTGAAGCAGGTGAAGAACATGATTCCTAAGTTAATCTTGGTTCTATGCAACATGCAGTTTGTACATTTTACATGGCCAGAGAGACCATGGGCCAAAAACATTTTTAGGTTAATCTTAATAAATACTTTTGACAGTTTGGGAGCAAAAACAAATGTTTTATTTGGTCATTTATATCATAAGGAATGTATTAAACACACATATACTATGAAACCTTTATAATTAATAATGTTGAGATTACACCAAATTTTTTATTTTTTTATTAATTTAGAGAGAAATTAATTTATAAATATACTAATTAAAACAAAAATTGAATTTGAGACTATAAAATTATATTAATTTATAGAGATATTTAGTGTATATTAATTTATCGAATATTAATTTATAGAGGTTCTACTATATTTATAGAGGTTCTACTATAATTGTTACTCATGTATCCTACTATGTGAATGTCTTCATGCATGCAATTAATAACAACATATCTTCTGAACCAGCGTAAAATCTCTATGACAATCATTATCCCATTACATTACGTATTTTTTTAGAGTTTGATAACATTTCCACATGCAGAAGTTTAGAACTCTGAGAGTTCCTTGCGGTTAAAGAAACAACCAGAAGTAGTTTCTTGATGTGGAAGCAAGGCCAATCTCACAGGACTTGATGCTCCTTCTTCTACAGACAAAACTCCAGTCTTGTAATTCATATCCGTCTTAACAAAGCCAGGACAAACAGCGTTCACGCGAATCTCTGGATGTTTCTTGGCTATGATCCTCGTGTAACCGTTCAACCCTGCCTTGGAAACCACGTATGCGGACATAACACTAGCCCAATCTTTTGTCTTAATCTTTCCTTCTTTGAACTCATCAAGAAGTTTGTTAATTACTTCGTCGATTCTTTCCTCCGTTAGATTCTCTGCGTCACTCAGAACTCCTTTTGCCCATTCGTTAAATATATTCTAGTAAACATTAATGTAAAATAGAGTTTATTATATATCTACCAACATATCTCAAGCTTTCTTGACTTTTTTTTTTGGGTACGTACCTTTAGTTGACCCATGAAGGATGATACATTGACGATTCTAGGAGAATCAGATAGCTTCAAAAGTGGAATAAACGTTTCGCACATTCTCTTTGGTCCATAGTAATTAATATTCATGCATTCTTTTGCTAGCTCATAGTTCTCTGTGATAGTCTCTTCCCAGTTGAAACCTACCTGTCATGTGGAATCAAGAAGAAAGCATTATAATATATGACAAACATTCACCAATATTATTACATAATCATACTTACTTTCCCTGCTCCAGCTAATAGAGTATCAACATCAGTAATTGTACCACCAACCCCTGCATTATTGATCTGTAAAAGCAATCAAAAGATCACTCAACGTTACATAAAAACACTATCGTTAATTATGAAACTGACTTTCGACCTCTAGTAGATATAGATCTATTTTTTTTACCAAAAAGGGATGTTTTCTTAAAAGAAAAAGGAATATAGGGTTTTTGAATTAGTATAAACTAGGATAAGACCCGCGCCTTGCGCGGGATGAAGCTATTATTTTTATTATGTTTTTAAAAATGATACAATAGTTCGGTTTCATTCGGATTAGAGGTGTTCAATCTGAATATCGGGTTTCGGTTCGGCTAGATTTTTTGGTATTTCAATCATTAAAATATAACTACTATTCTAAATCTATATGTACTTCAGTTTGATTTGGTTTATATACCATCGGTTTTCAGTTTATTCAATTTTATACCAAAAAACATAATTATTTAGTTTGAGATCATATTATATATTATACAAATATATAATATGATCATATTTAGAGTCATATTGTCACAGAGTCATTTATTAAAAAAATA